GATTACTGTTAGTTTCAAGATCATGTAGGCAGTGAGGCATCAGTGTCAACACTGATGTTGCTGTCTTTGATGATATATATATATATATACATATATATATATAGAACTGATGAATGCTGGAGTATGTGAATTGGTTGCTTCCGGGTGTTGCGCCATCAATCTTGGAAAATCATCACTGCATGAAGGATATCTCTGATGCTGGTTTCTCCATGGTTGGTGACGAGTCATCCGCAAGCAGGTTGCCAACCTCGAATAACAGATCAACAGTCACCTGATCTACGACCAATTATCTGCATCCTGGATCGTGTATAAGCCACGCAAAGTACGTCAGGATTTGTCAAGTGACAAACTAAGGTCACCTGTTTACAAGTTTCGTGATAAATTAAATTGATGAATGGACTTGTGACAGAACATCAAAAAATCAAAACACCGTTGCGGAAATTTTCTGCTGCTTATGAACAGTTAACGTTTACACTTAGTTTGCCCAGTGAACGGTATAATGAAAGCCTCAGGTTCGATTCCCACAACGGGTTTTTAAATCAGCCACCAGCCTCTCTTTTGATGTACTACAAGCGCGCTTGTTAATCGATAAATACAAAAAGAGATTACCAAGATAGTAAATGCTTCCTATCACCCCGTAAATAGGACACTTTTGATTTTCCCTCTAAAGGGATTTTAAGTGTAATACGCTACTTAAAATAAACCAACTCTGGTCGATCCCTTGAAATGACCTCTGCACAAGGCCACAGCCTTGTTCGAATAACTGGAATAATTTCAACTGCCTAAAATCCCAAATGTCTGCCCAGGCTGTCTCGGTTTACTGATGGAGTCGGAAATTCGTCCGGGGCCATCAAAGCAAACCTGTACGGACGAAAATTCTTTGAGGACTTTGACCCCTTTACCACGTTTCTATCGTGCGAGGAACTAACTTCAGTTGATCAGCTTAGTTCGATTTGGATTAACAAACTATAAAGGGCTGTGTTCAAAAGATAATACCACAATCAATAGACACGCATTTCACTCCGTTTTAGGCCGACAGTAATATAAACAAGTGATTTGAGTGTGACCCACCACTTTCTTCACAAATGACACAGGTTGTGACGGGAAAAACAAACAGGTTAGCGTAAATATTGAAGAAATATGGATCGCGAAAGTCAGTGTGCCGGTCATATATGGTTTGTATGTGTACCCCTTGGTATTAGCTGAAATGCATGACAATCTACTTGGAGAAGCATCATGATATCCCTTTTTCAAATGAGCAAGCAACAGCTTTTCAAACACGCGAGGTCTTACAACTTCAAATCGGAATCGTTGCAAAGGTGGACGAATACTGTCCGGAATTCGATAATCCTCCTCTCTTCGTCGAATCGCGAGTTGCGGCGGAGCCAGTCCAAGTTTGACGGTTCTCCGACGGTCTTTTTGTTTGGGGGGCTTGTGTTGAGCCAAAAAAACGGAATCCGCATCCAACAATTCGTCCTCTTCATCAAAATCGGATTCGTAGTCCTCGTCTGAAGATTCCCGGTTCAAGTCATCCTCATCATCCAGGACCATTCCAGGAATGCTTTTCAAGATGACACGTTGATCGAAATCTTTCGTATAGGCTGCAATCTCGGCAAATGTGGGGATCCCCTCGAACGGAACTCTGGTATCTAACTAGTTAGATGAAGTGAGAAAGGAAAATGGAACATTCGTTTATACTGTGGTCCATAATTTGATCCAGACTTAAAAGACAACTGAAGTACGCCGAAATCCAGTTCATTATTGCATGTTTCCCTCGGCGTCTGATTACACATGTCCATCTAGACAAATGGCCCATAATCGAAACCACTGGAACGAATTCATGCTCGACCTCATCTCAGAAATGTCTTGTTCCTGTCTGAGTTCCGGTGGAATCTTGGTGACTCAGTGAGGTCCTATAATGCAAGTACTGTCTATTACGCCAGCTTCACCTACAAGCGCCTGAAAGTTTCCGCACAATCAATGCAGCATCTGCAATGCCGCCTTTATCCTGCACCTTGGCATCCGACGACCAAGCCACCTTCCATATGCGTCCATATCAGGACCCAGAATCCAGTGGGTGCTCCAGCTACGTCAGCATTACTGCAACAAACAATCGTAAAGAATACGGACGTACGGGAGAGCTGAAGCTCAACATAACTATGAAGTACTGTTCTTGACTGCATTACTTTAATCAGCTACATATAAGGTTGTCACAAGAGAAAGCTTAAGATCGTACGTAAGCTATCATGGCGCCATGGAAGTTCAAGATCAACTGTTGTTTTTCTGCTCCTAAAAGATAGCAAGATCTCTCCAGCGGAAGATCCTGGTGACCACCAGTACCTATAGAGCATGACTGAAAGTGGTGGTTCGGTTCTCTTGCCGTGCAGGGAGCTATGAGGTGCGTCAGCTGACTGGATGATCAACAAGATCGATACTAGACAAAACAGTCAAAGCGAAAATGTTGGCTGACCGCACCATATGGCTGTATGAGGGAAAGGCAAAGTTCAACATTACGTTATGAATAGGTCGTGATAAAAGATGGACCTTCACATACCACACACACAAGCACTCTATCCAAAATTGTGCGATGCTGTCAGAACAAGGACAAATTGAGTCTCTGCTGTTTGCTCTCCTATCTTATGACGTGGCTAGTCAGTGGGAATTTCAAGGCAGAAAAACGAAACGGAAAGTGACCGGCTGTTTGTCATTTCACGGCTTGACGTGTGACAAAACTCGGTTGCGGGGTAAAACAGAATTTGTTCCAGTTTTCTTTCTTTTCCGTAAATCAAATCAAGTAGACAATGAACCCTAAACAGAGGGAAAATGGCTAGTGGACTAATGAAGCCAACCCCGGGAGTAGTATATTACATCAAGTGGAGTCAATGCAGTTTTGGATCTTTTTTGTATTGTATAGAGTAAGGATGTGAATACGAAACATTTCGATTCTCCATTTCTTTAAGAAATCATATTCGGTAACTCAACCAGTGGCGACAAAACCACCGTTAAGTGACCCCCACCCCGCAATAGTAGATTTTCGACTCTCCGCTCGAACCGATGGCTCAAACAAGTCGATCAAACGGTTACTTGGCTCAGGTCCTCCCGGTGGTCGGACCAGTGGTAACCGCGGTGCCGCAGTAAGTTGTTTATTCTACCGCGGTCACAAAGTCATAGTTAGTTATCATAACCCGCGACTGGTTTGTTATGAAATAAAACCCGTTTGTTTAAGATCTAGAGCTGTCCAAATGGCTTTACGTGAGGCAAAATACATGCGCAATATCAGATGTCGGGAAGTTCCAAGCTCATTCGCTTCTTAGGATGTTTAAGTTCATCCACATTCTACTCCCTCTAAAGAATGGCTCTTCAGAATTCTTCGTCTTGAAGAGTGATAATTGCATTTCTCGGATAAATATCACATCCGGGTTGAGACAGTGTGTACCAGGTTCTCCAAAATACTCTGCAGGAAGGACTATAACAAAGATATTTGCAAAGTGACGACACAGAGTAACGACTGAACCCATGGGATAATGCAATCAACCGTCTGTTCTACACATTCATCTATCATCATTTTTTACGGTGTATGAACTGTACGATCGTCTGTCCGATCAGCTCACCAACAATATCGACTTCTTCCATTAGGTGCTGTCAATTTGGACGTTAGCTTTGAACTTACCTAATGAGGGGATCACGAAAACAACAGTATTCACCCATAAACGTAATTCACTCTCATAAGGCGTTTGTTATGAAATAAAACCCGTTTGTTTAAGATCTAGAGCTGTCCAAATGGCTTTACGTGAGGCAAAATACATGCGCAATATCAGATGTCGGGAAGTTCCAAGCTCATTCGCTTCTTAGGATGTTTAAGTTCATCCACATTCTACTCCCTCTAAAGAATGGCTCTTCAGAATTCTTCGTCTTGAAGAGTGATAATTGCATTTCTCGGATAAATATCACATCCGGGTTGAGACAGTGTGTACCAGGTTCTCCAAAATACTCTGCAGGAAGGACTATAACAAAGATATTTGCAAAGTGACGACACAGAGTAACGACTGAACCCATGGGATAATGCAATCAACCGTCTGTTCTACACATTCATCTATCATCATTTTTTACGGTGTATGAACTGTACGATCGTCTGTCCGATCAGCTCACCAACAATATCGACTTCTTCCATTAGGTGCTGTCAATTTGGACGTTAGCTTTGAACTTACCTAATGAGGGGATCACGAAAACAACAGTATTCACCCATAAACGTAATTCACTACTCATAAGGCTGCTGAAAGTTCTTTGAAAGCCCAACACCGGTTTTGCCCTTCCTAAAGCTAATTGGGGGCTCAGTTCCCGAGCTTTCGTCAACCTTATTTTCTGTTTGAACCCAAACTGCACGAAATTAGCGAAACACACTCATTTGCATACCAACCTGGTTTTGACAGAAGACTCACCTGGAACCCAGTTAAATCTCTCGTTTATGTTTTTAAGCAAGTGAATGTATTCATCATTCCGTGCTCCTGAAACCCGCTTGCTGTGCCCCGTTATTATGAAGGTAGGGTGTAGTAGGGAGGTAGTAGGGTAGTTTATTCCCATCAGATCGATGTATATATATTGACAAACGACACATCGAGGACTCCATCCTAGGCATGCACCAAGCTTAACTACTAGGGCACTGGAGAACAGGACGTGTGCATGGGTAAAGACAAGGTTTTCCAAAGGATATTTTACACACAAGCATAGCAGCTCCTAGAAACCAGGTTTAGAGCTCATCCGACAATTGACTATTAGCCGGGATTTCGAGGGTCCCAAACTCTCTGGACGTTCGCTCACAGGACAAAGGTTCCAAAATCTTCTCATAAAATCAACAAACCATATGTAGCATGGAGGGAGGAGTAATTCACAAGTTGCGTTGTAACTAGAGAAGCTAGTCATCATTAGACCACGTAATGTGGATTCTTTGGCTGAAGGACGTATCCGAGCGTGAGGCAATCACAGCGTTAATCGGCTGCTTGTGGCCGAGTGGACTCAGAGCGTGCTGGATTTTCATGATATGCCGATTGCTGATGTTTTCCGTTGACTTTGGAGCAACCGCATGGGATTTCTCGGTCTTCCCGCCTAGGTTGGCCTCACTTGCAAATGAAGCGTCTACTGAAATCAATCGGAAGTTCATCTCAATGCTGAGAAAGGCCTCCACCAATGAGAACAATACCAAACAAACCAATCAGGATTGGAGACCTGCTGGTCGGCCAGTACCACGTAACTAAGGTTGTGGATCCTCCTGCCAGTGCACGATGGGTAAGACACCGCAACAAACCGCTCCACAGAAACTTACTGATTGTGTCAGCTGGATTGCTGATGATGTTCATCGAAAAAACCAACCTGCGCAAAACTTTCTTTGGTAGAAAATACATAAGTATCCGGGAGCGAAACATTTGATGAGAAAGTTCGTTACATGGCAGGTCGTCTGATAGGATGCTCATATTCTGGCCATAATAAAGCTGTCAAGTCTTGTAAAACGGGACAGGCTTCTGCAGACTCTCCGGTCAAGCTAAACTTGACGATTATTGACAAAAGTCAATCAGGAACGAGAAAGCGTGATGAATCGGCACCAAGGGACAACCAAGTTTTGTGAGGAAGTCGCAGTGAAGTAACTCCTACATCAATCAGCATCACTATCCTGGTCTCTTTGGATACTGAACAGAAAGCGGTCGTTAGTATAGGTTAGACATACCTGAATGAGGTCGAAGGCTGCAAGTAATTCACCGGCAGCAGTCTGCCCCCGATACAGCGGCCACCACTGCAGACCGGGAGGTTTGTATTTATCACCTTCTATCCAGACATTTATTCCGCAGAAGCATCTTCCAAGAAACTCCAGTTCATTCTGAAATACGGGCGGCAAAAACCAATGTAACAGTTTTTGCTGTCAGCTCAGTTCCCAACGTCGTTACATGAAGAGTAGATTTAGTGGGGCCCACGCTTAGTCCACTGTAGTCTTCAGAAGAACTAACTTGCGCTTTTTTGTGACGTAAACCGTTCGTGACTTATATACCAAGAATGCCTACTGAGACTTAAATAATTCAGAGTGATAACGTTCAAATCAAGCATTTCGCTTGCTGGCCTGTTGATACGCCCACTCAATGAGCAATCTATCGAATAACCGTGTAAGCCACCGTCGGTCACCTCACTTTACAAGTGATGTCTAACTGATGTAGTATTTCCTGTCAGTTGCGCTCAACGGCAGAATGATCATTGTATGGAGGCTTAGTGATGTTGATTGACCTTGTATACACAGTAAGGGTTGATTCCTGAGGACGTACCAAATGTGACGCACGAAATATCGACTCAACCCATTTAACAGGACACTAGCTTGATCTGCGAATTTTTCCGCACGCCTATTCTATTACATTATGTCAGTCAACGTTCGGTCCACAACTGACTCGTAAACTTGGCCTCCTTATACACTGAGGCAATTAGCTCGGAAGTCTTGGAATTACTGTCCAAAGCTGATCTGGATATGCCCGGTGCATCGCATCTAGACAACTATTCAACATCATCAGTTCATCTTGCAGGTTTGTGAGATCTCTGAAGACATGAGAAAAGGATTAAATCATCTTACTGTGCAATTAAACAAGTGGTTCACCTAGTAAATGACACGGAAGTTTGTTGTAGGATAGGCTCACCCCAGGGTCCACATCAAACACTTCGACAACTAACTGTTGGAGATTCTCCTTTAAGGATTTCGGGTCATGATAGAACAGAAGTTGTTTGTAGAGTAGCACATCCCACATTGGACTCATGGTTTGATAAAGCGGCTGAGTCTGCAGCACGTATTCTTTGATCAACACCCGTGCCAACGGATCCGACAGACCGCTTTCATCAGAAGCGATTAGATTTCGAGCGATGAAGATGTAGCATCGTAATTCAAATCGACTCCGTTCTGTATGCATTTAGAAATTTTTAACAAAAATTATACGGTGCGAACATGGATATAACACAAGGGATCAGGTGTGAAGACAGGTTTCTAAACTGAGAAATTGGAAGGTTATACTACTCATAATAATACTCAACAATACTGCTCATAACATCAAAATCATAGTCACAAGAATTTTCCGTTAACCATCGAGGATGTGATTCTGTAAGAATCAACTGGGAAAAACCAGTTTATTTTTTTTAAAAAAAGAACACGGTACTCCTAATTTACAATGTCCGCTGCGAAAATATACCATATCACAGCAGCATTTCTGTCATTCACTATGTACTTTTACATTCTCCGAGGAAGTGACCACTCTGAAGAAAGAGGAGAAAAGCCTATTCTGCTTGTGTCTTCTTCCTAGGCATTATCCAATGTAGTTCGGTTTCTAGGTGTTCTGATTGTCACTGTGTCGAAATGTTGGTAACTCAGCAGCGCACTGACGACGTCTCCTGGACTGGGAGCGAGACGTTTGCAAGCGAATCGTCAATCTCTTCGAACAGAGCAGTGGCCGTCTGATCATCCACCAAGATTTGGATTGGCCTGGCTTCAATCTGTGGACCCCAGCCCTACATTCCACCCTCGGGATCTTAATCTAGTTCTTTCCTAGTTCTTGCCTTACTTCTCTGACGTGGAAGTTCATAAACCTAGGTTTTCCCGACTGATTCTGGTCTGTTCAACTACCAAATTTCTAACAAGTGTTAGTAGACGTTCATCCTTCTCCATTCTGGACCTGTCCTCTTTTCACACTCCTTCGGTAGCTATACTACGCTTGATGATTCTCACACACTATGAACGAGAGGAACGGTGGCACCTTAAAAAGGGTCGTTCTACGGAAGAAGTAGTCCAGTACCAAACTACGTCTCGCGGGATCGGTTAAACAACTCACGTAAATAGACCAGCTCATCAGGTGGTTTCGTTCTGCTGAAGCACATGGGATCCACTCCACCTGGAATACCGAGCTTATAAGCGGTGAAATCTTTCAACAGTCCGAGCCACAGGTACACGCTCAGTTGACATTGTATCTTCCATCCTTTCTCTCCGACACCTTCGCGGCCTTGTTTCTAAATACAACGAAATAAGGAAGCTACTCTGACAGCGTCGGTAGAGTAGGGATGATTCGTGGAAACAAATAAATGCAATTCAAAGTTTCGATAAGAAAAAGAACCGAATTCGAAAATCATCGAATTGTTGAGTACTCACTCGGATGAAGATAGTTGCCAGCTGACCATTCCACTTCCCTTTTTCACTTTCCACCACAGAATAATAGATGTCTCGCGCTGGGACACGTGCGAAACCAACACGGCGCCCATCTTGGATCATGGATATGAAAATATCGGGAAGAGCATCGAGTGGCTGCAGTTCGATGGAAGACAAGAAAGGCGCATTCAATTGTGGCATGATGAAATATATTCTGTTCAACGACGTAAAGCGTAGTACAGTATAGAATAGTATGGTCTAGTTTAGTAAGGTACAGTTTAGTAAGCTACACAGTCGTGTAGTACGGTAAAGTTAAGTGGTGCTAAACGCCGAGAAGGCACCAAGAAAACACTGATGGTGAGAATTCAACACTTACGTGTTGCATCAGCTTGTGTATCCTTTTCAACATGGCGTTTACTTCGCGCACTTTTTCTCCTATTTCATGCTTTTGAACACTCGACAAATTCCATGCCTGAACGGCGATACGTTTCAAATCTCGCCGGATGCGTCGCGCATGATAGATATCCAGTTTGGTGCGCATTGCGGTTCCTCGACAACCCTCCACATCCTGTATGACAGTGGTTATGCGCTTGCTCAACCGACGCATTAGCGTGCGGAACCACTGACGAGCTTTGTGCGGTTGACGACGTAAAGTGAAGAAGCGGAAACGATCGAGACCGTAATTCTAGAAAAAGTGAACAAGCAAACGATGAGCAATCTGGTTTCATCGCTGAGGAAGGGCAGATAGTGAGCATTAATCAAAGACTTACTAAGTATTCATAAAGTCTTTCCAGTATGTTTGGTATGCACATACGACACCGATGGTCCTCAAAATAACTGATCATATAAATGCAAGGCTTCCGTGGTCCAAAATCCAGAAAATAGTACTCCTTGTCATCTGTGCGGGCCAGCATTGGTTCTGTTGTACTTTTACGCCAATCCACACGTTCACGACCTTCGGCTGATTGAAAACAGAAGATCCGGTGGGATTTAGTGTTAGAAATGTGGAAGCGAAGACGCATCAGAAATATTACCTGAGAGGATGATTGAAGTCCGAAGGGAATAATTTGCTGAAGGCGGTGAACCTGACAAGATTATGACGACGGATGTTCACCCAGGGTGGATAAGGAAGTACACCAGCTATTTGGTTTCAGCGATGGCGTGATCAACCAGAGATAACTGTAAATCAGATAGTCCTACTAAAAAACAAGGAAAGGAAGGCGCTGCAAAACTGCAAATCGAACATAATAGTTCGATTGTTAACTCAACGTGACCGCTCATCTTTGTACAACCATGGTGTCTCTCCCTCTTTTCGCGTCTCTCCAAGTTAGTCTTTTGAGCCGGGAATTTGTCCCCCCGCCAAGACAGTCAAGGTTTTGGCAAAAGGAAATGTACCATTCGGATGTAGTTTCCAGTTTTATTTGATTCAGCCACATCGTCAGGCTAAATATTTTTGACAGATTGTTGAGATATGGCCTTGTAGACAAGCAAATATTCACTGAGCAGATCTCGATCGTGGTATCCACTCAGTTCTTTACCTCGATCTTCTGAAAAGAGATCACTCGGAACAGGGATCACACGCTTTGGGATCTAGTTGAATCCAGTGGATTTTTGTCTTCCTTATGGAATCAATCGGACAGCGTCGGTTATGAAACAACGTTACAGAAATGGGGTTTACATGTTATTGAACACCGGCTTGCAATCTCCAGCATAACGAGGAGAACGCTGAAAAGTCATGTTTTTCAGTCCATGATGGGTCGTCACCGGTAGTCAGGCGTACAGCGAAAAGCCAAAAAGACGCATCATTCATTTCAGCCCAAGGATAACGTGAGGTTCATCAGCGCTACAGTTAAAGCAGTAGCACAAACCAACGGGGTTCATCATGAACTTGATTAAACGCACTTATCAGGACTAGGTATCTCCAGTTATTCCGGAAAACTTTGGTAGTATTCTTGACCACAGAAGAGGGCTGTTTACGAGGAAAAGAAGGAAGTTACTCCAAACAAGTTCCAGCCGAATGACGAGTTAAATTGACGGACTGCCAGGCAGAATGAAAGTCTTCCTGTCGAAGATCTGATTTGCTGCACATCTCCCCACATTGGGGTCAGAGGAGGACGAACAGAGCTTTCTGACCCTAGACGGGTCGATCAACCCCTTCATTGCTGCAATGACTGGTTGTTCCAGTGAGGAGAACTCGCTCAATCTTAGATGATCCAGATAAACCTGCACCATAGACGAACTACCAACAGGAGCTAAAGCGGTGACTGCGTAAGCGTTTGGATAGCATTTTCTTACAAACGGATTTAATGGCAAACTTTTCGCCCTGCATAGTGTATTGTTTATATAAAGACTGAACTTCTTACCTTGATTTACTTGGCCTAAGTCCTGGAATCCAGACTGCTATTTCAAAAGTTTTTTCCCAATGCAGCCGTATTTAGGGAACCAGAAGTATTGCTTCCCATTTGCTTAACAATCTGATTATACCCAGAACCCAGTGCCACTCGTATCTTTTTACTGTAAAACGGTTGTTTACTCTCCATCAACAGTGATGTTATTAGAATATCTGAACAATCTGAGAATGTCTTCGCCTCCTAGGCTTGCTAGTATATCCTACGCTCCCGTTTTCCGGTGATCGAAACTGTAGCAGCTGGAACCAATGTGCCTGTGGTACACGGTTTATAGCTGATAAATTGAATTGAATTAAAAGCGTTCCGGCTGTTGTCAAAAAGATCAGATTGCTGAACATTATTCCAGAATACCCTGAACCTAGTGAGACCCTCAAAGTTCACTAAATGCCTACCAGACAGCTCTGGATCACCTTCAGACAGTGGCTTTCAATATTCCCACTCGCTTGTGGCAATAAAGGTCTTGTTTCCACTTTTTGGGCACTAGTCAATGAAGCGGGAGACAGCGGTCAGACATAACACCTATACATAGCATTCAATCTCAGGCCGGGTGTATTTTTGGAAAGCTTTACACGAAATCATGTATTTCTTGGAGTGACCAGTCTGTCTTCCGCTTTCGATCATTCCAGGCTGACAGGCGTCTAAGATATTGATGAAAAGTTCAGGGTTCAGCCTTGTTTAGAACAGTTGCCTTCGTGCTTTTGCAACCCCGTGAAGTTATACTCAGTTAGCCCGAGTAAGACCTCTCCTAACGGTAATTTGTATGTGGCTGCTGTTTCACGCTTCGACGTGCCGTGCACTTGTCACTTTGAAAATAAGGATACAGAAACATCGTATTCCACTCGATCCCGCATTTTAGAAACAGTCGATCTAAACATTATAACAAATAATCATTCAGATGTTGCACCCTTTGGGTACCTAGCTGCCATGCCACCCAAAGGAAGTACGAGAACTAAGATGCTGAAAGATTGCTCGAGCCTGGGCGGGAGAAGTCGAGATGCCAGAGTCTTATTTGAATCACGGACATTCCATTCCCGAGAAACCGTACACCCGAATTCTGTTAACGCGCACCAGTACACCGTTTTGAACAGGGAAAATGATGGAATGAAAGTCGAAGCTATCTAAAATCCCCGGAGTTTTGAGCAGTACGATGAGGAAGATGTGAACGTTTGTGAATGGAGAGTAGCAACAACCAAGTCCATCCAGACTGGTAAAACTTCACACGGATGGAACGAAAACGAAACGCCGCAAATTTTGTTGCTGGGGCAGGCTGTCCTAGTAAAATCATGTTGCGCTGTCTACTACCGGTAATCAGATTTCCACAGTAAGTTATGTCTTGGTTTATGCTGCCCTATTTCAACAACACAGAAAAATGCCCGTGGACCTAAAAGTATTCCGCCTAAAAACTAATTAATGACTTCTCCACTGCAGTTAACCCTCAAGGTCGCCGATGGATATGACCATGGACAACAGTTTAGGGGCGCCTCAAAACGTACTTCCAACAGCCGTTCTGATGGGGTACAAATACACTGCTTCAGAAAGTGGGGACAGAGGTAAATGCAATGGTCTCAACCGTGAACACTCATCTCTGAACTGATTTCGACCAATCAGCTTCAGGGTCACAAATCTTGAGAGCAATTGATTGGCTTGTTGCTTATTTCGGACCTTACTTGAAAGTTCACGTGATGAGCACGGGAAGTGGTTGTTACATGTGTAACTTATGGGAAACATTCAAATGAATTCCAGATGAGTTGCTCGTTTATGATACTCTTCAACTGAATGTGCTGCACAAGGGCCTCCTCGTACTTCAGTCAGTAAGATATTTGAGATGTTGCGGTACGTTCCCTTGATGGGAGTGTATTTCACCAATAGTGTACGGTATGGCGTTCAAGTTGACTTGGAAATTGCGCTCACACGATGAACCCGAAAAATCTCAGTCTGAGTATTGTGTTCCGTCAAACTTTCCTTACCTGATTTGGCAAACTCAATTGGGAGTTCGTCCACTCCTCCACGTTTTCCATCAAGCTGGTTCCCAAAAAGACCTAAAACACAAAACAAGGCACAACGGATCATAGAACGGGATTGGCTCTTTTATCGCCATGGCTTTCAGCAGGTCCAATTCCTATCCGGACACTGTGAATCTATGGATTTTTCCGGGAGAATGTGTCAGAGGAACTGAACAGAAGCACTATTTTCTCAAAAACTACTTTTTCCTCTGAGTATGGGAATAGTTCGGCAAAAAGGCATACCATTCAACCACACCATGACGAAACGGTTATAAGCAAACGTACGGAACGAGAAACTGGTAATATCTGTGGTACACTATGCTGGATACAACACTATGGTGTCATTTTTCAGTGTTTACAAAGACTGGTGTCTAACTATCATCCGAGGCCAACTGACAAAAATGTCCTGGCAAACAGTAAGTAAAATGAAAAGACAAAGTCTAGAAAAGTTTTGTGGCTCTCTGGGAAAGATCAGGCAACAGCATCTTTATACCACTGAAAAAATCGATAGAATAAATACATATGAATAGTGTCTTTTAGGAAGACTGTGTCAGCATGTTCACAACAGCAAATCCTACAAAGACCCAGTGAGTTATTCCGGTCCGAAAATAACAGCACGCTCCACTGGGACCCGTTCCGCACTGTCTACTGATACTGTCCATCAGCTGCTGTAGCACGGCCTCTATGTCTAACTGTCACGCCACCCAAAGGAAACGTTGGGGCCGTGATAATGCCATGTTACGTAAATGTAGAAGCGGAAGTAACTTGCAAAATGAATCACGCGTGCCTGAGCAAGGAAGATATATACTGCCTTAATCGTTAGTTGTTTTTTTTCTAATTTTACCTTGCTGTACAACGCAAGCTCTTCCGCACTTGGGTTTCTGGGGACTACATCTTAAAAGGATTGTCAAAGGATAGTTGAAGAGCACACCTGCGCCGTCTAAAACTTATGAGTCGATGCAGTGACGAATGTTCGGTTATACTTCATCTCAGTGAGAAAACATTGCAACTTGCTAACCCCTGATATGTTCTAAAGAGAATACGGAATAAGTGTTGACAAGCGTTTTAGGCCCTCGGGACAGAGTAGTAACAACTAACATCCATAGAATAGCTAGAAGTTCCCTTCGAAATGGGAATGTTCCCTGTCATAGCCTTTGAAAGATGTGTGTGAGCTCAGGGAACAGCTTCTGAAAATGGAGTTATCAGTATACATCATCTGGTTCAAGTTCCGTTCGTTGAAGTCTATTTAGCATGCAGTCGAACGTGGTGCTATTGTTCAGCTGGATGTTTGTCTGTTCGCACTTCCATAGTGGTTGTTTTGCAAATATTTCTTCGCTATTTCGGAAGACACCATCACTGCGTCCACTGGTTTGTTTCGCTGCCTAATTAGCTACGAAAAAGGTCAGCCCTGATAAGGTTCCGTGTGGGTCTGTAGTGGGGAGTTTATCCAGGACGATGCAACCTTTGGTGAATGTTGAGTATTACCTCCTGGATAGGTAACGCTGATATTCAGGTGTTGTTTCTTAACTTTAAGAGACTTATCCTTGCTCATATTGGCCAGCCGAATGGGACATACAGTTGTATAAGCAGTTCACAAGTTCAGGTTAGTCCGCGGACACCTGGAGCTCCAAAGGAGAGCAAAGTAACATGGCCCACATTGAAGTTAAGCTGCCAGAAGCATAGTGTACCTAGGAAACATGTGCTCCTGTGTTGTGGCACGACAGTTCACGAAGTTCGCTGGAATATTCTAAAGCAGTACGTGGATTTTCTTGCTTCTACTTGGTGTACCGACTTGTTCACAAAGAATAAATTAAATATGAGTTGTAGAATTGGGCTAATAGGTTTCCAGACGCCAAAAAGGCAAAAACTCTTATGGAATGCACATCTGTAAACACACTTTATGAACCAGCTTATACGCTATTCACAGAAACACCTTCCATGAGCATTAATTGGAGTGTAAGAGGCTCTCATTCACATCCATAAATGAAGGAGGATGTATTCAGTTTTCATAAAGGAAACTACTCACAAGGTTGCTGAAAACTCTTCGACAGCCCACGAACGGTTTCGCCCTTCTTGTGGCTCATCAGGTAGGCGCAGTCCCCGAGTTTCCGTCAACCTCATGTTCTACTTGATCCCAAATTGGACTGTTTTCGAGAAGGACACTAATTTGCAAATCAATTCGGTTTGTTCAAATGCGAATTTTACTAATACGATTGGTTGCTCTTCGGCATCTCTTGGATGATACTAATTCTGTCTAATCTAAGGGAGGACATCCATAGAATTTCCTGGAAAATCTTGGAAAACCAATAGATAAAATTTTGTAGCAGTCAAACTCACCCATGCTTATCTCAAAAGAAATCGGTTTGTTTTTCGATCCCAGCTTCTGATCGATGACAGTGGCATCAAAGATGGAGGCAAACAGAAAATATATGTTCTTCTTTCCAGCGACTGTCTGGTTTTCAAATGAAACAGGGAAGCAACATTGAAAACCGCAATGCTTGGACTTGAGAAGAACTAAGCGTTTTCTCTTGGCAACGAAAGAATAATTCAGGAAAGGTACTCCAATAAGCCGTCCTACACAGACACTTTGAAAAGAAATTTGGCGCGAAAAGAAGACCGCGTTCTCTAAACTGGCGACAGAATGTGTGTAAGCTTTAATGCCCATGTAGCCTGACAATGAACAAACATGTCAACAAACGAGGGTAGCAAGGAAGCGCAAGCTCTCGCTTAATTCGTAAACAATGGAGAAAGGGGCAGTGATGTAGCAAGCTCATTGAAGTTATTCACACACACACACACACACCCTCGAGTACATCAACCGAAATAACAAGGTACCATTTCGTCAATGACCACAACTACACTAACCCGGTAGATAAAGCATTCTTACTACTAGCCAGTGGTCAGACAATCGTTTGATAGAGTTAACTGCTGGTTACGATAACGTTTTCCAAACCTGCTTTGGAACCGGTCGGCGAACAAGCATTCCCTGTGGAAGTGTCTGAACTCGTTAGCTAGGTGTTCGTGTGTCCAATTAGTCTGGTGGGTCCTAACAGGAAGCAAGGCGTTCCCCTATTTGAGTTTTTGAAGCCCGAAAAGTTTTTCTCACAAAGGTAGCTCAATCGTTAACATTTACGTCATCAGTCCTTCATTGATCAGTCCTTTAAACACCTAATATGTGGTTTTAAACAAGGTCCATTCCCTGTACATCTTGGAGATGCCATCGTGGAGGTCAACTACAATCATAGCTTTAAACTCCAAACCAGAACCAAACTACTGTGCATTTCATGGCAAATTAGTACCACCAATTACTGCTTATTACTTACCTCAACAATTTAGTCAATTAGTTAGTTTGTTCATTGCTTAGCTAAACGCAGAGGAGTATGTCAAGGACATGTCATCCATAAACAACCCGAAATTCACGTGCATAATATAGATACATACAAAGAACCGATCGACAATTCCACTGAAAGCTAACTGAATGTAACTGTGTACCAAGACCAGCCGCCCCTAATAACCGAACACCACATCATTTGGACGGATGTGTCACGTGCAGGACACGGGCCAAACGAAAGCATGCCCTGATTGGTCAGAATGCCAGCCAATCCGAGTCAAGCACCTTTGACTCGACGCTTCTCGCCCCCTCACGGAGATTCTGGCACGACCTTGTGGAACACTGTGACTACTCTATAAATACAGTTGTAATAATTTTCCTTTGCCTCCATAAAGGGCTGTGTAGAACTACCGTGCCTTTTGATGTACCATAGTGGGCGGGGCAGGAAGCCAAGGGATCGACACAGAGTTCCACGACCGTCCAGCAAGACACAACAAACTGTTTGCAGAGTAATCAGTCTGTAGAGTCGAAATTTCAGTGAAATCCGAAATGAGAATGCTTCGCATGAGTAGGCAAATAGGTTTCTGCACCAAAATTTGGTATATGGCGCGGACGGTGTCTCATAGACAGCTTAATTGAAATTATCTGTATAATTGGCCGTCAAATTTTTCAGCTTCTGATAGAAATTCCATCAAAATCACCTATTTGACTACGATAACCAATAAAACAAAATGTCACATGGAAACGGGCTCTAATTATCTCACCTCGGAAACAGGCGTGGCCACCTCAATCGCTGTACCAACGCGTTCGATAGTGTCATCCTTCTTCGCTGTGATTGACATTAATAGACGACCACGATAAGCGACTCCTTCGCCAAGTCCCAAATTCAATTCGTCCTCCGGTCTCAACATTTGCGCATAGGTATAAATTCGTGGGGTCCCATAAAGATTTATCCATGCGGGTCCGAAACTTGGCAAGTAGCCTGAAAGTAAGGGATCGTCCACAGGATGAGTATATTCAAAAAGTGGATATAAAACAAACCACTGTGTATGTTTTGGTACATCGGTTTCTCGAAGCTCTCTTCATATTAGCGAGACATAATGAGACCACTCTTGGAAAGAATTCCATCACGTATTCCCTCCTACTGGTTAGCGTCACTTGGATGTAGGAGCATCAGTCACGTGATGTATCCTTCGTTTGTTGCTAACCAGCGTGTCAGTTACTTGTTCTCTCACCTCGATGTGATAAAGTTGGTCACGAGTTCTCCTGTCTGGAAAGAAAGAGCACTCGGACAAGACTCGAATATGTGGCCTCTAGATTAGTGCATGATAAGCCCAAGTCTAGCTGCGCTCCTCATACATGGTTACCCTCTCTCACTCCCAGTCCCACTGCCATGATATTTATCAGTCCTCAGGAAAACCGTGAAAAGCTGAGATTACCCGCCTAAGTGTTCTCAAGTTTACAAAGACATCCGTTACATGGCCCGAGACCCAACAAACGCCTCAATCACCGTGTTTTTGTAAGAATGCAAACCCCATCTAATCACCACACGGTATAGGGAAGCTCAAAGCAACAGGATCCGACCTGGGACGCTCTTCCACGTTTTCCGACTCTCGTGTAATTTCATGTTGCTTTCAAAAATTTGTAGACAAATGTTTGCAACAGAAACCACTTGATCTCAGTGGTTAGGAGACAAACTTGTGGTGATTCGAGCATCACCAACAAACCTGACGAACAAAAACTCAATTTGCAAACTCGACTTTCACTTGGAACCTAAGTCCTCAGGGTGATCATTTAAATCCTGGAATAACGTTTCATATATCACATTACTCACTCTGGCACATTACTTATCGCAGACTCAATACTATTTGAAAAAAACAGTGTGTGTATAATATAAGCTGAATTGGGCAGTATTCAAAATTTGTCAACTTGATCACATTCGCCTGAGTTTCCATCCTACAATAACGGTGAATGATATACTTTACTGTCAACTTCAGTTGGAACGGAACGTCTTGGCTTTCTACAATGTTTTGGAATTAAACACAGGACTAGTTGAATCAAACCTGTGCACAACGATTTTTATGAAAATAGTGAATGTTGGTAGGCTCATGGTAGATAACGAACCACCTTGTATGTCCAATGCACTCGTAAAGTATAAACAACGTGGGATGAAAACGGGAACCGGATGAGAGTCCTAGCGACTGATAGGGTCCTAAAACCTCATGGTGAGTGCAACGCATTTTTGAAGTCGAAGATGTAACTGTTAAGGCTCTGGGCGCCTAAGGACACTACTGGAATCGAACTGTTTCTCAAGATGCTTCCAAAGTACCGGACAGAGCTCCATCCATCAACGGAATTCTACGATGTAGTACGAGACACTTTCTCATTTAATTGCATCATCAAGTTGCTCGAGGAAACTCACCTCCGGTTCGTAGATCCATAATCGTCGTCAAATCTATCAGGTGTGTGGCGATAATCTCACTCTTAATGCCAGCATTTTTCACATTGACGCGGATGGTGTGAGTGAGCGGAGGAAAATAGTTGTTGAATATCAGCTCTTGATTCCATATCGGCGACGCGTCATACCGTTTGGTTTTCGTTTGACACTGGGTTCGGACGAGAAATTTTTTAGAGGCGAATCAGTGAATGCTTCCCAAAGAATATAGTTGTCTGAGTCACTTAAGCTTATAAAATGACCACTTCTCGTACGGTGTTACTCTTGGCTAATTTGAATCTAGTATTCAAAACTCACCAAGATTTTTACCACCTACTTAAGTTGGAGCCTTCCGTGATTAACGAATTGGTCACCTAAAGAAAACCTGTCTCCGTTACACAGTTCCTCATCCCGAATCTGTTCCATAAAACTGCAAGCTGGCGAATGGTGCTCACATTCACTCTGTCCCTCAATTTGAAGTGCGTCGACAGTTGATTGTCAACCACAAAATCGCCGATGCAAGCTTGACCTCCATTCTAAGCTGATCCGAACGGATGAGCAGCTAAGCCTACTCTGAAAACGCTGACAAATTCTAAGACTGAATCATCTTAAGAACGAAAGTTGATAAAATGGTATGTGTTGCGAAATACCCTTCCCCAGCATCTTCGACTGTTTGGCTGACTGACCGCTGATTGGCTGACCTGTACAATCACGTGACTCAAGCCCACCTCTGTTGGTTTTATCGATTCTTCCTTGCGATCCACCAGTATTTACCGTTTCAAATCGCTACACACATATGAGACGATTCGGGTTGACGATGTGTACGGGTTAGGGCAAACTATGCGGTATCCGCTGGAATTATGCCCTATTACCCAAATCAAAATCACCTGATTATAAATTCTGTGAAAGTACTTATTCTGATTTGGTTTGTCAATCTTTTGTCGATCAATGGATTACCACGTAAACAGCCTGCGGATAAGGCAGAAAGCGCAGCCTACCGACCAGGCACGGAACTATATGATGCTGAAACCTTTCGGCGAATTGTACCGGTATCCGCAAACAAACCCGTATACAAGTCGCGAGCAAAACGTCAAACAACACTGCTGGAGGAAAACCATGGTTCCCATGATATCAAACCAGGTAATGTAAAGGAAGAAAGAAGCGTTCTGCGCGGTGCATCGGCCAATGTACCGCATGTGCAAGACCCACAGACGGATTCCGGCATTCCGGCATCATCTTCAAGAAGCATATCAAGTGATGGATATATCGTTGAAATGATGCCACAGGATAGTGAAAGCCTTCAGCACGATCAGTGGATATATTTCCGAATTTGTACCAAACCAGTAAGCACCATTTATGCGTTACTTCTGAATTCACAACTTCACTGTGAAAAAAAACATTAACGAAATTCGCGGGCGGCTGAATTATCCTACAACACATTTCTTTTGCTTTCTGCCTCAGCTAGTATTCTATTTTATCAACCTCCGATTTAGGAACGGCTTTAATTTAAACGTTCACATAAAAGTGCGGTATAGTCAAAAGAGAGGATGAAGATACCATATTCCAACGAATATCACGAATATCCTTTAAGCTGGCTTCTGATTCGATTCGAATATCCGTTTGCTAATTTGAGACACCTATGGCCTCAAAGTGGTGTATCCCTGAGTCTCAAGGGACTTGTGTATCAAGCTACAGTGCGGACTGTTTTTTTGTATGACTGCGAGACCTAGCCTGTTCGAGCAGCAGAACTGAGACGTCTACAGGTGTTCGACAATCGTTGCCTCATAACCAAAGCTCATGTGAGTTGGTGTCGGCGAATCCGCAATGAGGCAATTAGAGAGCGAGTTTTCCGTTGTGCAACAGGAGCTTCCATTGAAGCACCAGATGTTGCGTTGGTTGGGACATGTGTTGCGTATGCCGAACCATTGTTCGTCGAGGAGAGTGCTGATTTCTGTCCAATTTAGAGTGGCGGAGTCAGAGAGGTGGCAGAGGGGTATGAAAGAAATCACGAAACGTTTGGGTGCTGTTGGTGCTACTCGCCTTCCAGGAAGGGGACCGTGTGATCCTCACTGCACCTGGTTGGAGACGCTGCAAGATAGGGCTGCCACCCGATGTCAGTGGGGATCTATCCAGATTGCCTGAATGGGTGTTTGGAGGTGTAGGCACCTCGAAAGGATTATAATAAGCTAGCACTAAATCCCTTCCCCGTCCACCTTTATTCTTGTCTTCACAATAAGGCTTTGAAATAAATCATAGTTTTACGGCAGCATCCGTGTTGAACACTGATGTCATGCTGTCGATGATGATGATGATGATGATGATGATGATGATGATGATGATGATGATGATGATGATGATGATGATGATGATGATGATGATGATGATGATGATGATGATGATAAATACGATGGTGATGATGAGATGTAGGAAAAGGAGGAATTGGTTGGGGGAGATGGTGATTTTTCGGGTGTGGATTAAGTAATCTAATTAGGATACAAGTTACTGTCCCAATGACCATGAGTTTCCCAAAGTTGGACACAGTTGGAAACACCACTAGCGGCCAATCCCCCTGAAGGAAGCAGAAGGATCAATAGTGGTGCTCCAATGTACATGCACCCAGTCGGATTGATAGGAAACACAACGGTCGAAGCGCTGAGGCCCGGTACGAGTCTACTGAGAAGATTCATTTGATTTCGTCACACGTGGCGCTCAACTTCTTATCTAAAGGTTTTTAGAGTGTATGTCCAAACCCGAACTTTATCGACTCGGAGTGACAGAGGCGAAGCGCCAAGACAAAGAAGTGGGAACCCAGAAGAGCATATTACACCAAAAAATCGAAGAAAGTGTAAAATTTATTGGGCCTTCAAACCACCCTGACGCGGTGCTCCACAGCGAACAGCCAGACAGTCGCCTACCTGTAATGCAAGCCCAAATCTCCTCACGCCATAGAGTTGTTCGGTTAATGGTGTTCTGCGAAACCCAGTTGCTTAGGTCTATTCATCAGTCATGTCTCATTCAAGCTTGGGCCAGGATTACTAGCACTACCATCGTTATCATGGTTACTTTTTAAGAATAATGTCACACATGAAAATGCGGGTGAAAGACGTGGAAGGGCATATAAGAGAACATTAGAAGAAGGGAAGCGCATTTGAAAACGTGTCATCAACAATGTTTTAGCGAGATGCGACCATCTCAGAGTTATGTAAGATTGTTTGACGTGAGAACACACGTTCTCAGTGCATCAAGCGTTAACACAGTGAGGACTCGGACACAAGGTCAGGGGTGAAACTCATTTGCAAGAAACAGAATTCTACGCCACGTGCCACGCATAAATGCACGTGGAGAGCCAAAAGTGGTGAGCAGACAAAAAACATCGACTGTGACCTTCGTGGACTGAGTATACCTCGGAATGAAATAAACACTGGTTCTTCAAATGAAAAATCAACACCACACAGTTGCTCGATGCTCTTGAACAGCAGTTAGGTCAGACTTGATGAAGGACGTCGACGTAGGCACTCTCAACTCGTCAAAGACGGTGCCCCAGGTGACGGATACGTTCTACCTGATTGTGATGAGCGTATCTAGGACTGTAAAATGTGTCAGAAACTCTCCTACTCAACACAACTTCTACGAGAAAAGATCGTCTGGTTACCAAGACTATGCCGAGGCTTTCCAACTCTCATTCTCATCAGGGTGGAACTAGATATCGCCCAGGAAATAGGTATTTTGTAAAAAGAAGCCTTCGAGTTGAATGAGGCAAAGTGACCAACATTCACAAGCCGGTTGCAGCATTGACACTACAACAAGCTCTTCCATCACAACGATGAACAAAATTGGAGAGAGTGGATCTCCCTACCTCAGTGAACCTCCGAAAGGGAGAAAACTGCCGCAGTATCTTCAAAGGACTGTGCGGCGTATCATAATAGGGGTCCGCGTGATCCTCAGTGTGCCTAGTTGGAGATACCACAAAATATGACTGCCAACCGACGTCACTGGCGTTCTTGTTGTCAATTTCTATTCAGATCGCCTGAGCGAATGTCTAGAGGTATAGGCTCCTCATAATGATTGTGGTAAGCTAGCACTAAGTCCCTTCCCCGTCCACCTTTACTGTTTTCTTTACAAAAAGGCTTTCAAGTAAATCATGGTTGTATGGCAGTGAAACGTCGGTGTTGAACATCGATGTCATGCTGTCGATGATGATGATTTGACTTATTTTGGTAAATCCGAATTTCCGAATACTGGGATCGTGAGGCACACCCACACCTCTGGTGAAGCAGGTGTTATCTGTTTCTTGGTGAAACAGTGCATAAGGTCGCATAATGGACATTTTGCATGGATGACAATCAAAACCGGAGAAATGCCTGTTAAAATGAGGATTTCTGAACCCGAGTGATGACATACCTCCTTGTCTCTCTCTTTCTTCACTTTCTAGGCAAAAGTTTCGGGCGTACCTCGACTGGCGAACACGTTTGAGGATGAAATACGCGAAGAATTACAGCACTCCTCATGTGTTGCATCAGACATTGGAAGACCAAAATTTCTGCGGGATCAGGAGTTAGTGATAACGATCCGAAACAAGGCTGCTGTTAGTTATGCAATACTCGAAAACCGGCTTCAGCTCAGCTCTACCGTCTTCAGCGCCGATAGGGTGAAGTTCTGGTCAGTAAAGTCGCTAGATACCGTACTAATTGGGTTGAGACCACCATCCTACTTGAATAACGAAGTTTTGGATATCTACCTCGAACAACCCGTCAATTCAGAACCTCAATTCCAAACCAAGCCTTACCTGGCCTCTAGCACATCAATTTGGAGCAGAACGAACCGCTTGAAACTATTTCGGCTTTTTGGACTTCCGTTTTCCGAACGAGAAGTTTATCACGCTGAGAAATCTGACCAACCGCGTCTAGGTGCACACAGTGGACCAAAGATCAGAATACATCTGAAGCAGGTTCTGATACAGTTTACGGCCGAACCACGTCAGTTGTTTATTCGCTGTAACAAATCGGGACCTATTGTAGTTTTCGACCCGTTCACGGTGAGGACAACCGCGGCTAATACTCAGACTTCAATGGATACCGAAAAATCAGCCACTGGCAGACCAAACAGTCTCAAAGGATTCTCCATGGATGACGCTTATAAAGCCGCAGAACCGGCAACCAGCACCCACAAGGAAGACCAGGACTCTGGTTCCACCGAACTAACCCAATCATCGATGGATGAAGCGACGAACACCCAAAAGTCACCCCTTTTCGTTAGGTTGTCTCCTGGCTTGCCTTCTATGATATGGGATTCGGAAGTTCCCGAACCGGTGACCGTTGGTGAACTGATGGACGAGATCTCTATTCACCTAGCGCAGAAACGTGTACAGTCGTCCTCTCCAGATCCTCTGTCCCCGGGAATGTATCTACCCACAAGTTCAGCTCTTTTGGTTCCGACCGAACCGATCACACGTACCCTTGTGTACCTCGTCAGTTTAGGGGAAACTGTTCACATTACGTGTCAGGGTCGGACCAGATTAGATCCAATCATTTTACTCTATGAGCAGGATGCATGGGCAAATATATCGCAAAAACTGGACAAACAACTACCAAGTAGTGTTGGGCCAAAAATAGATCACGACCTCAAGGCTATTCGAATAACCTGGGACAATGTAAGCGAGGCCATGTTGAATCAACCACTTCGATTTGCCGACCAACTGACAAGCGTTAAGTGTGGGTATCATAAACAAGGCCATCTATGGGAACCACACATATCCCCATCCATTCCGGAAGATGCATCAGTGGTTCAACTCTCTTTCACAATTGTATCACCGACAGATTATCACATGCTGAATCAGTGGTTAGCTGCAAAACACAGTCAGACATTTGGAGTCCAACCGTCTGAGAAAACAGCCACACTGAAGCAGGCTATCCTGAAATTCACAAGTGCCTTCCGTGTGGACAGAGACAATATCACTAACTCGTTCGAGCACAGGCATGTGGGGTTCTGGAACATCTCTTTGTCGACGCTATCAGCAATGAAGCTAGCCGTGTGCTTCATCACAGCCATCTTTATAATCACATTAATCATACTGGCTATATGTCACCACTCTCATCCACGAGGTATCAACTGTTCACTCATCAGTTTGGTCTGTTTTGGAAGTAGTGAATCGGAGGAACTACCCCGTACATGGAACTCAGGAGATCAGGAAGTTCCTCTGCAGCCAAACGTCCGAAGAGTCTGGATACAAACTGCCTTGGACAAAATTAGGAGGAGAAGATCTACGCCGAATACTGTTATTTTCGGCCAGCTACAGCCGAACAGCACCGGGTCGAACGCGCATCTAGCTCATCCCATGGGATCATCGAAGCCCGCCGAGGAAGTTGGAAACGGTCCAGAAGGACTTTGGAATGGAAGATATCGAGCAAGACGCCGGCCAGGTTAGACTTTGAGCTCTTCAGACAAAAGCGTATGAATGAACATCATACAACAGTCCCGTCAATGGAACGGGACTAGTATATACGGTGTGCATGAGAAACAGTGCATATCAGAATAGCCCTTGTGTACAAACCAATAGGTTTGGTACAAAAACAAACTTTGTATAACTACCATGTTGAACTGAGTAACTCAGTTGAATTCCCGCATATCATTTCCACTTGATTTACCAGATAATTTTGTGCTTTATTCTTTGAAACAGGAGGATTCGCCATTCCATCTAAATAAACAATATTCCACCTGCCGGAAGGCGAGTTGTGTGTGCGTGAGCTGTGCTGTGCTGTACACGTGAATGTACACAGGACTGTGCTTTGTGCCTCCTTCGATGGACTCATTTCTGACCCCTTCTATTTCTATCTTGATTTATTGTCCCTCCGCATACGGAGCTACATCAAGCTGGTATTCCCCGTCACTCCCTGTCACGCAGCAGACATGAGATTGGATCGATCAACTTCCGGATGGTTATAACGGTATCTGACAGTTCTAATGTGGGGATATACTTACGTTTTCTTTCAGTTCCGTCGGCCTCCTAATACAAAATTCGGGCAGGTGTTGTTGTTGTTTTTGTGCAATACGGCTGTCGGTCGGGTGAATGTTCTCAACGAGCAACTCATGTGCGAGTTGAGGTTCCCGAAACGGGACTTTGAGTGACACGTAGATTTGACTACACCGAATACCAAAAGGAAGAGCTGGGTTCGAAATTCTAAGGTACTGCTTACACAAATACATGCAAAAGAACTCGTCCATGTTCGTAGCGTCAACAGATGCACGAGTCCGTCACTGACTGGCATAGTGCAGTGTCTACGTCCGCCCACCAAACAATAGCGAGCGGAATGTCGGCCAGTAAGTAGTGTGGGTTGCGATTGTCCATTCCGACGACAGTCTCGTAATTCCCATTGAGAGCACACGGAACTCATGAGGAAACAAGTCAAAGCACACTCAACAAAAAGGAAGCTATCTCGTATGGACAGACATTCTAAGACACAGGTGTCAGACGGGACGGCCTTTGTGGTAAGGTGAGTGGCGGGCACAAAGAGCAAGACGAGTGGAGATTAAAAGTACATAGGTACAGGAAAGCAAATGAATGGGGGAATTATTGTGAGGTCAAGTTATATTCAATAGTCTGCCTGTTGTTCGACACTACACCGAAAGATGAAATCCACATATATGGAATGAGTATTTTCACGCACTAACTAAAAAGACACGTGTTTTTAATCATGTTAAGAGTGATGTAGGTAAACCTACTTAACAGTACTTGATTTCGTCCTGCCGTTTTCTAGTGCACAGCATAAGACCCATAGCTGGACTATGCACAATCTTGTGAAAATTGCTCAAGAGTCGCCGATTGATTTTTACTCAAGCGGCAATACAGAGAAGAGCATTGAAAGCTGACTATAACAGACAAGGGTTCTGTGAGTTGTAATCTATCTGGCAGATGGAGTCAGGAACTTTGTTCGAACGGACGCAACACAGTTCCCTGTCAGGTGACCTCGGGATCAATGCAGTTTGAGAAACTAACCCCTTAGGTTAGACCAGTTGTCAGAAATCCTTCAAGAAATCAATAACTAGGGGGGGGGGGGGAAACTTGTTTGCTACCGCTGCGAAGCATGAGACAGCTTTTAGAACGCTTTATTCACCATTGTAACGGCTCACCTTGAATCCAGCGTAACACACTTCAACTAGTGGATCCACATTTGCTGCACCCTCGCCGACAAATGCTTGACGCATCTTGTTGCTGATATCAGTATGCATCGGCGGTAAATCTTCAGCTTGGTAAACTTGAATAGCCAAAGAAACCATGGTGTCTTGCTTTTGACCGCGTAGATACCGAGGAAGGATGAGATTTCTGAAAAAAGATGAGTCGAAATGTATCAGGTGCAGCTATAGTTTAACTACTGAAATCAACGTCAATTTCTAAGAATCAGACTTGGCTCCTTGTTTTGAGTTTTTCCGGTACACCTTATTGGGCGTCCACATGAGTTTTGTTTCATTTCCACTCAACTAACTTGCCAAATCAAAGTTGATGCACGCTGAAAGCCCAAACAATATGGAAAGCGAACGAAACTCAAAGATGTGGCAAGCCAGACGTGGACAACAAACTCGGATGCCAAGAAATGATGCAATTATATTCCAGTACTCATTATTTGAGCTGGCATTTGCTGCTGAAAACAACTTTTTAAAATCCAAAAACGCTCTTTTCAGGTATGAAACCTTATGCATGGGTGTATTTTTTCCAAGAACCTGGAATCATATTGAGGCTAGTACGCTAAACTCTCTTCAGAGTGCTTCATTAACTCCATAAGATTCTATAAGATAGTTTCCACTTTCACCTAAAGTAAGGTCCTATGGCAGACTTTGTCTTTTAATAGGCGACGGCCGACTGTCTCTTTGTCGCTACCTGTCACCCAACACCTTTCTTCCTAAGCGTTCGATGTGCATGGCCTTCTTAAGGCCCACAACTTCAGAGCTGGAGTTGGCAGAAGCTGGTACCGCAAATATGACGGTGAGTCGAATATTCTTTGGTCATTTCAGTGAAAGAAACACTCTGAAGCTCTAAAATTGCGGTAGAATGATCCAAGTTGGTAAGTGCTAGTTCCGTTGTGTGCTACACTGACCGAAAATTACCACAGTCTTGGAAGACAAGGAATAACGTATAAACAGTCCACTATAATGTGTGTGAATGAACAAACAATTTGTTAAAGCCTCTCTGTGCCTTCGTTGACGATGATCTAGTAAACCCGGAATCGCCTGATCACAAATAGTGAAGTTGCTGAACTTGTTGAGGCGGTTCGTTAGCTTTTGATTCAGTCCAACTAGAGGCTGTTACGCAACATCCACAGAAAAAAGGGTTAGTGGTTTTACAAGCACATCCAGGTAGAAACCACGACAGATTCTCTGGGTTTTCTACGGACTTCATTATCACCGTTGATTCAAATCGCTCAGTGGAAGGCATCCTTTCCAGTCCTAGCTGCGAAATATCGGAAGAGGGCATGAAGCCTGGGACATTACCGAATTGCCCAATCTTAAACAGGAGCAGTGGAGCTGTCGGGAGTCGGATTGAACCATAGACCTTCCGGTCAGCAAGTTGGCACCCTAACAACTAAGTGACGTCGAGGTCCAAAAGCTAGTGTCGGTCACTCAGTCTGTACTGAACACTCCCTACCCCAGCAAACGGATTTCAGCACGCTGTTTCGTTATTGCTTCACCGGCGTGAGTTTAATCGTGTGTAGTGATGAGGAGTATAGTCTCAGCGTTACCTCGAACTCACCTCTTGGCAGTTTTCAGGTAATCGTATAATTACTAGTACTCGTACATTTGTAAAAATTGACAGCCTAAAGTGAACTACTGCAAGTGGGGTTGTGCGGCCAATTGGATACCGATATCCTAAAACCATATAAGTAGTGTCCAAAATTCACTGTGATTCACTTTGAAACACCTGGCCGTTGCAGTTTGCCGATGGAAGAATGCAACGAATAATGTAGGACTGTTGAGCGTGTTCAACACTCTGACACTCGCCCTCCAGGATCTGATGTAAAATACATCAGGAGTATACATGGCTAAACTAAACTTCTTCAAGGGGTAGTATGCTAGCATTGAAGACTAGCTGACAATTTCGGTTAGAAGCACTTTGAATAGAGAGTTGGTTGGTTTTCACTAGGTGGTGACGAATGCTCAATTGAGTGCAATCGCAGTGGTCAAGAGTATCACCATGTCGGTGCGCATGCTGACGAACATACTAACCAGTAGCTAGTTTTCTGGTTCGGCCCGAAAACGTGGGCTAAAATGCTACCGCTCGGCCGCAGTCATTCTCTCTCATGCCAGTGGCACTTTGACTCAGAGGGAAAACGAGACATGTTACGAAAGGTCTGTCAAGTAGGATCATGTGATTCTTACCAGCTTCCAGTTCATACAAACGCCAGGCACGAGGAACGAGTCGAACTTGTCAAAGCAAACCGTGGCGACGCAACTACATGTTGTATGGATGTCGCGCGACGACATATGACATAAAAGTATGTTTCACAGTTTGCAGCATTGACAGAACTGTCTGTGAATAGTGAACCGTGCCGAGAAGTCTTGCCAAGTTTAATATCGTAACAAAACAGACGTAGGTTTGTAAAACAGACAGGTGCAGTGCCATTCTTGCGTACGTAACCGTTTACAGAAACTATGCTAACCTCACCATTGTTGTGTAGCTCAGGCATTTCCTCTTCACTAGAGCAGTTGTGATAGCTCCACGAAAACCATACATAACCATGGCCTAGAACATGCTGTTCTGACTACAATTATATCTAGCGTTTCTTGGACTGCATTTTGAAAATACCGAAAAAAAGACTTGCAAACATTATGGACGTAATACACTACTCATAAGGTTGATGAAAATTCTTCGACAGCCCATGACCGGTTTCGACCTTCTTGGGGCCCATCAAGTAGGTACAGTCCCCGAGTTTCTGTCAACCTTATGTTCTAAATGAGATCAAATTACGCGAAATTAGCGAAATACACTCATTTGCAGATAAAATCTGATTTTGCGGGAAACTCATCTGGAACCTGGCAGAATCTCTCGTCTGTGATGTTTTCAAGCAATTTAGGTTCAAGCAGAACGTAAGGTTGACGGAAACTCGAGGACTGCGCCCACCTGATGAGCCCCAAGACGGGCGGAACCGGTCGCGATCAGTCGAAGAATTTTCAGCAACCTTATGAGTAGTGTAACATTGCTTTATCTTTGTTATGGGCTATTTTAGCAGCCACAAAGAGCTCGAATATAGACTTTTTAACCAGTTCTCAAAGGAATGTTGAACGAATTTTGGCACATGATACGTTTTACGCGATTTCTTCAGTTTATTGCCAAACGTTTAAACGCTCGCTACTACCCAAGTTCGTTCGAATTGAGGTAGTGAATTACTCCACTTTTCTGATATTTGAAGAGTCACACTCATATTTCTCGACACTTCCCCTTGTAACGGTTCACGGAAGTGAAGCGAACCAAACCGGTCGCCACCAATTGGACAACAATCCTGACAAACGTTCACGTGACTTCCATGAACATACGAACCCATGACTTTCTTGAACTTACGCTTCAATGTTTTCGTCTTGATCGATTTCTCTCTTGTTTCTCTGTGGATTGCGAAGGAAATGGACAAAAATAGACGTTCTTTGAGACAAAGTTTGATAGGGTCAACTTTCTACACAGTTCAGTCATAAACACGGTCACTGAGTCGACTCATTCACTGTACATAAATGACTTAGATGGCCTAAATATGTATACTGGTGGTGGATAGATTCAAACACTTGTCACTGGTGAAAAACCTACACAAACGCTGGAACAATGCATCCAGCGTATGTAACTGTAAAACCTCGTTAAGTAAATATCAGGTTATGCATCGAATTCATACTAGAAGAAAGCAAAACTAACTCCATTATGTTGTCATCCTCAACGACGTTGAGGTGCGGTGATGGACCCACGAACTCTGAACAGGTGGACGTTGGAAGTCATACCACCTGTTTTGATGTGAAAGACTGCCAAACCCTCATGAAATGAGGAGGTATCTACATTTAAACGTTGATCATTCACCTACCCCTAACTGCAATAATCTGAAACAAAGAACAGTGTGTGGGTTCAGTTGTCTGGACTGATGACAGGTTGTATTGAAGTACTCACGACCATCTGTTGACCTTGTTCGACCACACTCATATCGACTTTCACGTAGCCTTTTGGACCAGCCCAAGGGTCTTTCGGATCCACTATAACAGCCCATTTGTTGAATATTGTATGCTCTAAAATGAAGAAATACGAATAACGGGAAAAATCTGAGTTATGTTGATTTCGGTCAGCGTAAGAGACTTCTTACGACGATGAGGTAACAACTATCATGTATCACCTTCAAATCATTTGTTTTGCAACTGGCGAGTACAATAATCAACGTCCTGTTAATGACGGTCAGAGTGTGAGGGTTGGAGTGCCAATAAGCCTTACATCAGTAGTTCTCCTAAGTTGTCTTTATTTGCATAAAGGAAACTACTCACAAGGTTGCTGAAAACTCTTCGACAGCCCATGACCGGTTTCGTCCTTCTTGGGTCTCATCAAGTGGACGCAGTCTCCGAGTTTCCGTCAACCTCATGTTCTACTTGAACCCAAATTGGACTGTTTTCGACAAATACACTTATTTGCAAATCACTTTGGTTTTCACGAGAGACTCAACTGAAACTCTCGTTTACGATGTTCTATAACTGAATGTGCTGCACACAGGCCGCCTCATGATTCAGTTGGCACGATATTCGAGATATCGCGGTATATTTTCATAGAGGAAACTACTCACAAGGTTGCTGAAAACTCTTCGACAGCCCATGACCGGTTTCGTCCTTCTTGGGTCTCATCAAGTGGACGCAGTCTCCGAGTTTCCGTCAACCTCATGTTCTACTTGAACCCAAATTGGACTGTTTTCGGGAAGTACACTCATTTGCTTGTTTTATAAACCTAAATCAATGGACAGAATGTAGCTGCGTCCCCAGTCATGCACTTGATGACACCCCAAACAGAGGACACTTGTTGCTAGAAGCTGTCTCCAAGTTTGGAATGTCCCGTGTACTAGAACCTGGCAAGTACGTAGGGCAGTACACGCGATTAATTGCTGTGTTTATTCCAAGCTGGGTTAACCACTCACCAACGGATGAGCCTACCCGAGCTATCACTACTCATCACAGACACGAAAGACAGTTTGAAGGGAACGTTTATCGTACTTAAAAATGGGACTTAAATAACCTGGACATCCGTCTGCCTAGCTCTTCATATATAAAGTTTGTGAAAATCAACAGACATTTTGCGGCAGTCGGACAGTGGGCTTCACAGTCAGTATGAAATCTCAATTGGACATTACCGAACTTCTTCACATTACCATGGATCAATAGGCAGCTCAGAAGAAGAATAATTTCACTGGATGCGTGAAATTTTCTTTTGACAGATCATCGCTCGAGGAGCCAGTCGACACGTGACCACGTGATCTGGTTTCCGTTATTGAAGTATGTGCGGCGCTACGTCCTGTCTGAGTGATAGCTAATCGCGCTGCTTATGGGCCACTCGTGGCCAATGGCCGGAGGTTCGCGGATTCGAAACTCTCTGAGGTCCGTAAGATGCGCATCGCTGATGATTTCCAACAAATGTGAATCAGTTATATATAGTTTCTCGGCTTTTCAACCTAGAATGACTTCACTGACAGGATGAAATTCCTACCGAATTTCACCTAATCCCCTCACATTACCATAAACCGAGATTGCCGAGAATGCTCGCACACAGTCAGATTGTAGAGGTTCCTGACGCGGAACTTTGAATCACACCTGGGTGTGACGACCCCGAATATCAAAATGAAGAATTGGGTTCGAAAGTCTATGGTGCTATTTACACAAAGGTAAACAAAGCTATACAACAAACTTCGTAGCGTCAACAAGTGCACAAGTCTGTCGCTGACCGGCACAGTGCAGTGCTAAGGTCGGCAGACCAAACAACGGCGAGCGAAATCTTGACTCTGCGGTGTGCGTTATTGTCATCCCTTTTGAGGACAGTCTCGTGATTCTGATTGGCGGTGCGACCATACGGGACCATGACAGAACAAGTCATGGCAGGCTCAGTCAACGAGGCACGAACGCAAATAGGTAAGTAGGGCAGCGTGCGCACATTCACACACACACGCTAGTATACCGGTGTCGGACGGGAGTGCCTTTGCGGCAAGGTAAGTGGTGGATGTATATGAGTAAAACATGGATGAAGTAAGCAAATGAATTGGGGAATTATTATGAGGTCAAGTTAAATTCAATAAAGGTAAGAAATTTGTTCCATGAGAATTTGTCAACCAAGATGTCAGACAACACCGAAACATGTGACTGGAAGTTTGCAAGTGGTCAAACATGACGCCATATCCTTCCAATCATAAGTTAGTGCTGGTCAGTCACTCGTGACCTACTTGCACAATGTGGAACTGACAGCCGATTAGTCGCGGTCTGTAATATTTTCCATAAATTCACTAGGTGCGTATCGCTGTTACTTCCTACAAAGAATCAGAAAACTGAATCTCTCGTTTATTATGGTCCACATCAACTGTATATGCCTTGTATCTCAGTTGGTGCAATACTTGAGGTATCACGATACGTTGCCATCTCGACAAAACATACTACTGATGAGGTTACTGGGAACTCTTCGACCTTATGAGTAGTGTGTTATAGTGTGTTATGTCCAGACGAGGACGTATTGTGATAACTCGAACGTCGTACCAACTGAAATGTGAGACGGTTTGATTCAGCACATTCAACTTAATCGGACCATCATAAACGAGAGATTCATCTGGATTCAGCTGAGTCTCCTGTAAAAACCAAACTTCTGGGCAAATGAGAGTATTTCTGGAAACCTGTCGAAGAATTAGGCAACTTCACGGTGTCTTAAGCATTAAATTCACGTGAACCATGAAATCTCTAGTGGAAATTCAACCTTTTCGAACTGAAAAGATAACGCAATTGAAATGACCACCCGGATCGCTACTACCGATCACTTTCAACTTGACCAGCATTTATTTTGGTTGGTAAAACACCGACTGCTGAACTCAAATCATTGGAACATACGTTTGTAGTCGTAAACCGTTCTTACATCCGTGACGAATTCTCCAATCACTTTGCCTGGGAGTAGCCGGAGCATTGGATGCTGGCGGATATTGAACACCTGTGGAAAGTAGTCAAGGTATCATTGACTGATTGTCGAATCCTGGTGTTCGTTTTGGTCACAAAAAGAATTAGGGAGACGGAAACACCCATTCACTGATAAATGCACTCAAACAGAAGCATGAGTTTAGGACTATTTTTTTCGTGTTTTAGGTTTGTGTTTAAACCTTTCCTTTTACGAGTGACAGTCTTGTTCTGTCAGGGTATTCTGGTGGTGACCTTCGCTTTTTACTCGTAAATAGTGTCGAGCAACTGTAGGTTTGATAATCGGATGTCCCAAATGGACAGCGGAAATGCTCGTCTCAAACGTTTCACACACACACACACACTCCGTCAGCAAAGAAACCGATAAACGGGCGAAAAATAAACATATAATATATACTATCTAATAGATGGGAATGTAAACATTTGTGGTCCCCCAATTTCCTCATTTTTAACTTATTTCACCCATGGAGTGTGAAAATGGAGTCAGTTGAAGTAAGAGGTATGCAAGGAGAACTGAAGTGGTCTCGGTAAATTCAATCGTTTTAAACTATAAAAGAAACTACTCATAAGCATGCTGGAAACTCCTCGAAGGCACACGACCGGTTTCGCCCTTCTTGGGGTGCATTAGGTAGACGCGTTTTCGACAACCTTATGTTCTACTTGAACCCAAGTTGGGTTGATTTCGACAACTACACTCATCTGCATGCCAATTTGGTCTTGATGGTAGGCTCAACTGAATCTCTTGTGTATGATATTCTTCAATAGAATGTGCTGCACCAAGGACGCCTCGTGTTTCAGCTTGCACGATAATCGAGATCACGGAATGCGTTTTCATAAAGGAATGACACAAACGAGAAATTTACGTCGAATCTCCCGTGAAAATCAGATTATTAGTCAAATGAGTGTATTCGTCGAATATCAGATAACTTTTCGAACAACCCAACTGCCCAAAAAAGTCAAACTTCCGTGTTGTTCCCCATTATATAACTCATCTGGTCCGCAGTCATTAAAACGCCAAGGATGGCATAGCCGTAGCAGTTCTTTGGAAAGAATCGTTTACGAATAAACCAAGAAAAAATGTGGATGCCTGCTATCACGAGCTTGGCTCAGGGGGCGAGATATCTCATAGGTTAGGGCACAAACTTACTAGCCGGAAGATCCATGGTTCGAACCCGACCACTTCCCCTCGACTTCCCCCGTCTAGGCTTGGACAACCTGGCAGCATCCCAGCCCCCGTGATTTCTTCTGATGGTATGGCACTTAGGCACCAGAAGGGTGGTACAGCTGAGGGATCATCAACTTCAGTTCAATCAACCCCCCGATGTAAATGCTTCGGGAAAAACTTGATCTATTTTGTTGCATTATCAGTATGAGTGAGCCTTCTAGACTTTACTGGAAAGAAACTATTGTTCCCGCCGTCGTCGTGGTCAAACTAAATCAAGTATGCGATTTCTATGGATAATTATGTAATTCTGAGGAATTCCCATCGATGTGCAATCCACGTTCAGTGAGCGACATGTTTTTAGCCGCTTCATCAGTAGAACAAAGTTTTCGCCCTGTTCGCAGCTGTTTATGATGAGCGGTGAACAGTGAATTCAACCAAAGTTGCGTTTCACATCACTAGGGAAAGCTGTCAACTCATCCAACGCACCTAATTTTAAGCCAAGACAGACAGAGGTAAGAATGGTGTCTTCTTGACGGAACCTACTACTCATATAGATGTTGAAAATCCCTCAACACTTCGTCTTCGGGTTCATCAGGTAAACGCAGTCCCCAAGTTTGTGCCAATTGTATGTTCGATTTCACACCGAACTGCAAGCAACCGGGGACAGTAAGCTTGACTTGGGGATCGTATCCATCCGATGAGCCTCAAGGAGAAAGAAACTGGTCGTGGGCTGTCGGAGAGTTTACAACGACCGAAATGTAAGCAACCATAGACAGTAAGGTTGACGGGAACTTGGGGATCGTATCCATCCGATGAGCCTCAAGAAGAGATAAACCAGTCGTGGGCTGTCGGAGAATTTACAACAACCTTATAAGTAATATATCCCGTGAATCTTGAACACCATTTGAACTGAAACATGAGACAGTCTCTGTGCAACACATTCACAGTTGAAGAATATCGAAAATGAGAGATTCAGTTGGGTCTCTTGTTGACATCAACTTAGTCGGTCCGTGTGTGCATTTCGCCAGAAAACCACCTTATCGACAGCTGAATTTACCTGAATTTTTATGGTCTCTGTCAGTAGTTGCTGTCTCGCACGTTGCAAATCGAACGAGAAGAAACTGTCGTAGAACGGATGATTGGTGGCAAATTTCGCAGGGGTCTTTTGGACTTCTTTCCCGACGGTCACAGTGACAACAGGGTTAATATTGGTACCGAACAGTCGACGAGCCTCAATCACATTGACAACCAGCTAGAAGAAAAGAGCAAAAGGCAATGAGGTAGGTGATTGGGGCACAATCAAATCAGGGGTATGTAAATGGACCATGGGATTATACATCACCTGATACGGTTGGGCCTTGAAGATTGTTTCCCCGATCCGATCGGTTATCCTTGGGTCCCTGAAACAAAGTAGGTGAGCAAAATCACATTCCAGTTGTGCAATTTCGAGTCACATGATCAGATGAAAACTAATTAGCAATAAGGAACTTCTAATAGGAAAGCAGACTAAATTATTCACATTCAAATGTGGTCCTCCCAATCGATCAGCACATGAAAAAGTTAGGTGAAGAGTAACTATTTTTAAATTATTATGGGTGAAATTGAGAAAAAACGGGAACAGTGCTCGTGGAACTTAGCAATAAAATGTTACGAAGCTTGTTCCTCCTAATTTAACCAGAATCAGGAGTGTGGATATTTGACTTCCCCTATGAGTCAAATTGCAACACTTTCAAACTTTCCTAAATCGCACTCGCTTTTTTCAGTGATTCGTTGTGGAAGTGGAAGCAGCGGCTGAGAAGTGTTATTGAAATGATCAATCAGATACATCAATATCACGGAGTCGGCGATGATGACGGATATGACGTTTCCAGAGTAACGGAATTTCACTAGGGATAACAATTTTTTTGTATTTACCAGGTAGACTGAAACCGAAACTAGACCGAGAAACATTTCAGGCCGACTAACTTCCACATTGTGTCTAGACAATCACACTGTATGCACCGTGGCTTGTACGAATGGTGCGAGAGAGTGTGTGTGCGAACCTCCGTAGACATCAGCATTCTGATTCTTGTTGAATTCAGAAGCCTTTGTAATGCAGTACTCTCCATTTAAAGGGTACAAGATCCAGTATTTTAAATCGGGATCTTTTCCTGATAAGTCCTGCCATCCAAAAATTATTAGAAAAAAGTGGATATGAAGAGGGTGAAATTGGAACATGTCATTAATAATTTGCATAAAAAGGTCCGTTTTTTGGCGCCTTTGCCCCCAAACAAACTCACACAAGTAGCTGTCAACTAAAGATCGGTGTGTGCCGCATTGGCGTTTATTCTGCATTTTGTAGACGTGCCAAAGAGATTCGATGATTTGTGTGTGAGCTGCAGTCATTAGATCCACAAAGTTTTTGGTATGATTACCAGTTTTATAAGTCATGTCAATCATCGTTTCAATTCCTTGGTACGATGTCCACATATCGGAGGTGATCATTGAGCCGGAAGCGATGGAGGCTTGGATTGTGTCCATCAAAGTGACCGCAGTTCAATCTGGCACTGTCTACGTGAACACCTCTTTAGTCTCCCGGCAGATCCCTCCGAAAATCCACTGCTATGGAAGGACTCGCCGTGCGTGGTTTTTACTGCGAGATCTCGACGTTTAGACCTGGGCCGCCGTCTGCACTTGGTAGACATGTTAGAGATTCGATGGTTTGTGTGTGAGCCCCAGTCGTTGGATCCACAAAGTTGAAAGTGCCATTTGGTGGCCATTGTTTCATAAACGTTGCTGATGGATCACTCCGTGGCTTTGCAAAAAACGCATTGCCGTCTCCCTGTCACGAATGAGAGTTGAAAGCGTCGGAAAGTTCACTCAAGGATTTACGTTCGAACGGAGAAAAAGTTTCTACAAAATGAGCCTAGATGCAGACAAGGAATTGTTTTCATCGAAAATAGGTCAAGGTTGTGTGCGCGCATTGAACTTGGGCTGGCAAAAAGTGGCGGGGCTTGTCTGGAAAAGATCCTTAAATCTTTAGCATATGTTACCTAATGGGGTTTGTGCAACACCGTTCCCTCTGAAATGATCTAAGATTTCCGGCAGGAGAGAACAGTGCATTTTATACTTTCTGCTTGTTCAAAACGAAGTGGAATTTCGGCCCCTTACTTAGGTGATGCGGGGCCAACATTTTGAACTGTAAAGGGATGCCTGAAATTTTCTTTTTGAATTGCTATTGCTTTTCCATCATCAACCAAGAAATCTCTGAGTAAGCTTCCTCATGTGTGCCAGTTCGGCCATTTGGGGAAGCTATAGCACCATTCGTTCTTCAACCATAAAACTGGCGTTGATTGGTCACTTGCTGACTCAACTGGCGAGATGTTTTCCTTGCTGAGTATGCTACCCAGTTCGATGGTCACGTGTTTTCATCCTGCAAATTGAGCCAGTCTAGGATAGAAAGCCGAGCAGCACCGTGTTGATAACTTTCTAGCGATTTTATTGGTTCATCTGCTCAAAGCATCTGGCTTGTGAGTGGATCGGACTGAACATCCGTGCGGTCTATCTCAAAGAAAAAAATCGAATCACCCAATGAGTGATGCGGTTCCGGATGGCGAGGGGATGAGTCATCAGCTTGGTTCACTCGGGTTTGCTTCTCGCAGTCGACCCAACGGATGGATAGACTACCCAGACAAATCGCAGTCGGGCGGGCGGTAGCGGTGGCATCAGTCCTCCGAATGGGGTTCCTAAGCCTAACTGTAAGTGGGTGATGATTGGCCTGATAAACGTAACCTAGCCTGACCGATAAGCCCGATTACGTTCGGCTGGATCCGACCTGGGAGAGTGCAGTTTGGATGTACATACGCTGATGACCTTAGTAACTGACCTCTGCGGCGGAATGGGTTACGGAATTTCCAGGACAGTAACTGCTGAAATCTTGATGTGTTGAGGAGATTTAGAAGTTTCAATAAGGATTTCGTCCTATATATGAGGGTAGTTTGGGGGCTAAGTAAGTAGTATGAGACGATGGCTCAGAATCAAGAATCGTCCCGTGCTACTCAAGTCAGAACCAAAAGAAACTCCACTAAATATCTCCTCAACCTATGTGGTGGGTGATGGAATTTTATTGTGCTACTGATCACAAGAGACTCTAGCTCCAGCAATCTTATCATGTCTATGAGCTCAAGGGTATCAGTTTGCGGTGAAAAACCGAAAAGTTCTGTACGACTGCCTTGTCCTTATTGGGAATCATCAGCAGTGCGCATCTCACAAATTTCTGAGGCCTTACTCATACAATTACCAGATTTATGAGTAGCTTGGAGGAAGGGAAATTCATGCACGCAATGGACCACTTATCGGAGAGTTCGGCACTTGAGAAGCAAGGCGACCCATGGCAACTTGATGTAAATTTCATGATCGAAGGATGAGCGGTACCATATCCCGTCTGCGTGTGACCCAGTTACGCTGTTAATCAGTCCTTTGTGACCGAACACTTTAGTATACAACTATTAGCCAAGAGGCCGAGCGTTCGAATCGTCATGGAGATTCGTGAGGCGCGCACTGCCGAGGATTTCCAGGAAAAATAAAACAGATGTACGATGCTTCTTGATTTTCCTGCTTAGAGTGACTTCACTGATTATCTGATTATCTTTACAAGAGGCCCGCGATCGTGAGTTCGCCTTTCATATGTAATTGTTCATGAACGACACCCCATTCCGCTGCAGGTTACATCTCCAGGGTTTACCATGGCATATTGAGACGTCGATCAATTACAAACTAAAAGCATTTAACAGGTAAACTGCTTGTTCAATTCATGCAGTAAAGTAAAGCACCCTAAATGCTAAGAAAAGAACCGCCCAGTCTAAACTTACACCCCTTCTTTAAGCATGCCCTAGTCTCAGTTGTAATCCAAAAAACTGAAAACCTTTTTGGTACACTTTAAAAACGCCTGAGTAAACGGTTATTTTTATATACAACTCATGCGTGGTATATGAGATCAGTAAAGGCTACCATAAAACCCTCAGCTCTAACCCAAAGCTACATATATATTCTAGGTAACAGTGAATTCACCAATCCTGAAATGAACTTTCTTAGCTCAATGAATAAGAAGGATCAGCCGGTTATGAGCGATCGATTGAATTGGAAACTCCACTTTTATCCCCAAGTGCGTACGTGCGATTTGCCTTCCAGCCAAATCCAAACACTTGTTTTTAGGAATGAAGAAGGTGAAAGGATACTGCAGAAATAGCGAACTACCTAGCTTCTGGACCGGAAAATGCATCTGAAAGGTCTTCAACATCCCCATCTCCTTGCATTCGCTCCAAGGCTGTGTATTCATCTTCGAAGTCGAGCGCACTCTCTCTAAAACGATGCCCAATAAAAAGAGTATGGTGTTTGTGAATGTGTGTTGCATTTGTGAGTGGAATTCGTCATAAAATAAAAAAGGCAGTTTTGTGGAATGAAAAATAGCTTTAGTTCATTGTCAACAACAGAACAGTGGCAAAATTTACCGTCATTGTGAAATTACCTGTGTCGAATGGATTCATTCAACAGGACCCTTTAATGTATAACCGTTTGTGAAAGCACCTATTGCAACTATCTGACAGTGGAAGTATTATACATGAAAATAATGAGTGTATGGTGTATTTTCATGGAGGTGTTCAAAGATCTTCATGTACCTGACACAAAAAATGTCGGAAATGCAACAAGACTAGGTTCCATTATTAGGTACGATTGAGCTCACCGGATAGCTTTGCTTAAAAACGCATCAGGCATTGCAGATAGATGAATTCAGAGCGCTCAGTGAGTAACTTGGGGGCACCGAGTCCCGGCTACGGGCTACAAGCTCGGCTAAAAACTGATGTTTCATGAGATACACTATATGTTTCATTTACCGTTTCAATAACACTACAAGTTTTATACAGATTGTCTCCGTTTGTGTGAATTACATTTCTAAGAAGCAGGATCAGGAGTTTGAGTGCGATCCTAAAAATTACTCTACAGGCAGAATCAAGCCACATGCATCAATGTGTTCTGATTGGTTGGATCCTACCCTGCGGACACGTGACAACTTTAACAAATCAGTCAATGGATATGTCTGTTCTGGGACCGTCGAAGTGATTACTCTGGCATCGAATTGGTGGTTTTCTCGTTTGGTGGTTAGCTAATTTTTCCATGACCGAGCCGCACGCGACCCCTAATGGGCGTCTGGTAAGATTAATACGAAGCTGGAACACGTATTTCTTCATTTGTTCAAACCAAACTTTTTCACGGAGAGAAACAAGGGACCAAATTAGGACTAACGCAAATTACTGTACACCAGAACCAATAAAAACAAAGAATCGGGTGGTTTGTAGGCTCCCTGCGCTGTTTCAGGTCCGTATGGAGAAATGACTTCAGGAGACGACTTGTTGCTTAGGCCATCCCAGTTATATCGAGTTTCGCAGTACAAGCGTGAAGGACATAGATGGATTGCCATAGTGTACGAACGATCGAAATTTGGTGAAGTTAATGAGCAGTCCACTTTGTTCAGACTCAACATATTAGGAAACAGCCAGTCGCTCTCCAGAGAAGATTCCATTTGAAGTTTACTCCACTCTATTTGAAAAAATGTTTTGCAAACCTGACATCCAACCAGTTTGGTTATTTTTTAATAGAGCGCGTTGGCCAGATGTGTGCTGTCTGAGGACGGAGGAACGATAGCCTCTTGCAAGCGCCGCGCTAATTTGGACTACTTTTATTATTACGAGTAGCGGAAAACAACCAAAACTTCAGTCTTTACTGTTAGTCAGTTCGCCAAGCTTGGCAATCGGGTTACAATTTGTCGCTACTCAGATAGGCATCCTCTCAGTTTAATCAGTACAGTCCTTGTTGCAGTCGTGACGTTGAATTTTGTGTGTGGCATATGTTTTCCTCATTGCATCCAGGATTTCTTCCGGCCTTAAGATAGATCTCGTCAACATTTTATGGACTTCAAGTCAACTGTTCTTCCTATGTTGTAATTGTTTTTAGGTCGTTCCGACAATATCATTTGCACACAAAAGCATGATTCTTCTTTTTCATAGCCGTGCTAAAGAAGTAACCTGGTTTTGATTCCGTATGCGTTTCCACATCAAGTCCCGCAGGTAGCCGTTGCTGTGAAACATCTGTTAAATTCATCTTTCTCCATTCATGTAAGATTCTGATGTGTCATAGTGCATCTTCCATCCGTATGGATGTTATTCAAAGGCAACTCTGGTTGTGACAGTTTGGATTATTGCCGAAATATTTCAGAATCTGATCCGTGTGCTTTCCTTTCTGTACATTTCGCTTTGTAGTTGGCTGTCTGTTGAGCTAGTGACGGGTACCTCTAGGAGCACTAATTTGTTGTTCTCCCCGGTTTCCACTGTGAAGCGGATCTCGGAAAACCCCGCCTTAAGCAGTTGGTTCGTCCGCAAATGTTTGCTCTTCTTTATAGTAGCAAACGTGTCATCCACCCTTAATTCGGTATGGTATTTTGTAGCACAACTTTCGCATGCAACTTCCTCAATAAACCGGAAATTAGTGATCCCAGTAGCTCTCCACGAGCTGTTCCTAACTTCTCCACTGAACCCAAAGTAAGCTGTCCCGCATAGATCCAGTGGTCCGCTGACATCTTTTCCAGGTGTCTTGCTAACGGTTCTCCAACTGTCCACAATTTCGACAGCCGTTGTCACTGCAGCATTTAAATCGGCCGGTGTCTTGTCGAAACTGTTGAAACGCAAGTACCACGCTCGGCGAACAGAACAACAGCCCAGCAGCGCACTCGAGCTGCGCATATTCCACAACATTGCATCCTACCTGTCGTTGCGCTTTGAAGTAGACGCCGGGACGCGTAAGTTCCATTCGAGGGTTTACATCATCCCACACCAAGGCATCAGGAATCTTCATTACGCCAAAT